GGCCGCGGGGCCGCCGGCGGTTCGGGACCCAAAGCCGAGCGGCAGCGTGATGCCGGACTGCCCTTCCCGGGCCAGCGGACGTGCCTGCACAGATCTGTGGCATGTTTGCTGAAGGCTCGGTTCTCCCCACAGGTTACCTGGAGAAGAAGCCCAAGAACAACTTTCGGGATTTCATTCCGGTGGTGCTGAGCAGCCGGACGCGCAGTCAGTCGGGTGAGCTGGTGCCGGGGGACCCGGGTGGCAGTCCTGGGTGGCCTGCGAGCATTCCCCTGCTTAGCTGGCCTTGTGCCTGCCTTCTGCCCTGCCTTGCAGGGCTTTTCTCGTAGACACTCTTGGCTTTTTTGTCAGCTAGAAATCCTGCTTTCTTGCAGGAAGCATCGCTGGCTCTTCTGCTGGTGTGACGGGAGAGTGTGATGTGACTGGTCAAGAGATTTTACCGTTGCTGGAGGAGGATCAGGAAGAAGAGGAGGAGGAAGAGGAGGAGGAGACATCCTTGAAACGTCGCAAGCTGCGAAAATCCCACAGGACATCGCGCTATCACAGTCGCAGGGCCAGGGACAGGTCTCTGTCCGAGAGGAGCGGCTGTTACACAAGGAGGACCCGGGAGCTGCCCTGGAGAGTGGAATCGCCCAGGCAGCTGTGGGAGCCCAACGAGGAGGAAGAAGATGACAGCCACATCAAAAGGAAGAAAAGGAGACGACAGAAAAGTCGGAAATACCAGACAGGAGAATATTTGACTGAGCGAGAGGAGGAGCGGGTGGGCTACCCCCACAGGAGGCGAAAATCCAAAGCAGGTACAATCTGGGAGGGGGTTTCTGGTACCAGGCTGGGGATCAACGTGGGTGTTTTTTTTTTTTTTGTTTCGTTGTTTCATTTGTTGGGTGTGGGATTCTTCGGAGTTTTTGGATTTGGGGATTTTTTTTTTGTAATTGTCGTAATTTAACCCGGCACCTGGCAACTGAGCACTAGACAGCCCAAAAAAGATGGATCTCCATCATTGTTAGTGCCTTGATGTCCACAGCGTGGGCCGCTTCAATTGATCAGCTCTTCTTTGAAAAATATTTACAGTAAATCTCGGAGTAGGAAACAGCAGCTGATGTGGCTAATTAGATACTGATCTTACCCTCAGATTAAGGCAGAGGGCGTGGGAAAATGCGAATCGGACGAGGTAGCACAGTGAAATATTTCTGGACAAGCACAGGCTCCTGGGAGCGGGGTTCGGCTTTCCTGGCTAAAGCGGAGGGAGGTGGAGCATCGCGGTTCCGCTGGGCTCCTTTATGCTTTGTCTTGCTTTATTAAGGCGACTTGCGAGCTTGCATCAGGGCACGCAGGAGAGGATTAACACAGCTAGAGTGCCTGCAAGTGGCGGAGAAATCCCCGTGTGGCTCGTCTTTGCAGCTTCCCTGGGAGGAGAGGGCTGTGCCACCTGCCTGTGTCCTGCTCGCTGCTCCCCCTCCACTCTTGCCTTTCCTCCCACAACTGCCCAGACCGTGTGCTCCAAACTAAATCCACGTTTCCCTGAGGGTCAGCGGTCCCTGCGGTCCCTCCTCCCTGCCCGTGCAGGGGCAGCCTCAGGCTGTTGGGAGCAAGACTGGGGTTCACCCCGCAGCGCACCGATGGCTCAGCGTGTGCTGACAGCTGGCTGGGAGCCCTTAGCTGTGTGTCCCCCGGGTAGCTTCTGTCAGGGTTGCAGGAGAGCATGTCCGAGCCACGGTGCTGGGGGAAGCGCTTCTGCCGGCCCTCCGTACCCTTGGGCCTTGCTCTTGGAGGGGATGTGGTGGATACGGACCTGTTGCCTTCTGCTGCGTTGCTGCTCGGATCGACAGTCCTCAGGAGAGGCTGAGGTGCTGCTGCTGAGGTGCTGTGAGAAGGAGAGGTGGCCGCTGTCCTCCCAGCACCTGGTCCCCCAAGCTACGTTTCTGCCCTGGCACAGTTTGACGCTGTTGCTGCAGTGTCTGGGTGCCTCTGTGAGACCAGGAGTATGGTTTCTGATGGCCTTCCTGGCATCTTCGCAGTTTGAGGGCGTGCTCAAGCTGTCTCCCGCTGATGTCTGTCCCAAACAGAGCCTGAGAAGGAGGTCTGAGTGCAGCAGCATTCAGGAGGGATTTCTCCAGGAGCTTTACCACACTCCTTGAGAGTGTCTGTCTTCTGTCCAGAAGCCGGTTTCCCTCAGGGACTGCTTGCTCGGCCCTCAGATACGTGAGCTTCTGTGTTTTGGATTCAGAAGCTGTGGCCTAGAGCCGTTGCTGCCTTTGGAGATGAGGACCTGGGTGCTACAGTGGCTCTGTAAGCTGGCCGGCAGACAGAGCAGGGACAGGGAGAAAGCAGACCACCGTGTCCTGTACTGGCTCAGGAACCTGCGTCGCCTGCGGGTACGAGCTGGAGCGATCCACTGACAAGCAGCTGGCTCGCTGAGGCCGGGTCCCTCCGGGAGAGGGGTTCACACGGGCAGTCTTCGGGGCGGGCACGTGGGTGAAGGAGGCTGGTCCCTTTGACGGTGAAGGATCCGTTGGCACGTCTCCCCTCTGACCGGTGCGGCCTTGACCCTTCTGACTGGCTGGGCTGGCCCTTCCTCCGCTACGAGCCCAAGCCCCAGAGCTTCGCCGCTGCTGAGCCGCGGTCGAGGTGCACGCGTTGATGAGAGCGCTAAGCCAGTGGCGTTCCTCTGTCTCCTTTGGATACTGGAGAGAGGGAGGGTCGATGCAGATCCCTGCCAGAGCCACGTATCGGACCTCTGGGGTAGGGGAACCCGCTGCCCACCTCCCCTCTGTGCTCGGAGGAGCGATGGAGTCCCTGTGTTTTCCTCCCGCTGGGTGCGCAGGGGCTGCCGGAGCGTGCCCCTGGCAAGCACAGACCGTCCTGGTCGCCACGTGCTGTCTGACCTGTCAGCGTTTTACCGCTTTCTCTTCACGAGACTTGGCTCTTCCTCGCCACATTCCCGGCTCTTCTGAGCTTTGTGCCGTTTCCAGCCCGTCTCCTCCGCAGCCCAAGGTGCTGCTGGTTGCCGGGAAGGTGTTCTTTGGCACGGGTGTGTGTCCTGCCGAGCGAGGTGTATTTAACGCTACGGTGATGGGCTGCTTTAAAAGCTGTGCTGCGAAGCGCGGAGCCCCTGCACGCTGGCAGAAGGAATGGGGTATCCGGGAAGGAGCATCTCGAGTCCTCGCATACTGCCCCGGGTTAGCTGTGACAGTGTAACAGTGCTGTAAAAAAGACACAGACGGTGTTACGGAGAGCCCAGCAGAAATCTCCGTCCGGTGACTGCTCCCAAAACAGCAAGCAGGCTGGTGATTGCCGTGTGCCACCTTCTTGGCAAGTATCGTTGCTAGAACTTCGCTGAAGTGCAGCCTGAGGAGTTGTGCATGAGCTTAGAAAGAAATACCGTGTTCTGCGTGGTGGGAAGCTAGGACTGCTGCCCAGACCCTGTCTTGTGGGTGCGTTCTCTTTGCTCAGAGCCAGGAGATGTCTCCTGTTCCTCGCTGAGGTACACCCAGCGTGCTGTGTTCCGTCAGGCTCTGTCGAGCCCGCGGTTTTCCCCTGACCGTGGCAAGGGCAGAGGCTACGCAGGGCCGGCATTCGAGCACAGCCGCTTCCCGGACTTCAGCTGGCTGGGCTTCCCCGGCATCCAGAGCAGCTAAACTAGGGCAGTCCCTGCCCAGGCCTTCTACAGCTCGTTTATGGGCCTGTTGTCCATGAATTTGCCTAAATAATTCCTGGTCCTGGTGATAACATCTGCCTGCAGTGCCTGGAGGTGGCAGCGAAGCCCTGAAGTTCCCTCTGTGCTGTGCAAACTCCTTTCTGCTGTCTGTTTTTCGACTGGTCTCTTACTCCCTCCATCGAGTGCCCATGAGTCTTGTGCTGCAGGATTGGGTGAACGAGGTTCCTCCACTTGGCCGATCCACCCTTTTACGATTTTTGCAGATTTTGGTCACATCCTCCTCTGCATTCTCCTCTCCAGACTGAGGAGTCCCAACCTATCTTGTAGGGTGGCCTCGCCACCCCTCGCTTGGTTTGCTTGCCTTTCTCCACTTCCACTCCATTTTTCCTGAGAAGTGGAGACCAGAACAGCACTGCAGTACTTGAGACATGCTGGCTTTGAGGTTTTATTTGTGGTTCTACCTCGGTGTCTTAGCCAAACCTATTTTTCTGTGCAAGACCCGTGGCCCCTGCTTCCTAGCAAGAACAAGACATACGGGGAAGTTATGTTTGGTACTTGATGGGGAGAATCTAGAATCTCTGCAGAACGTGGAAGCTGAAGATGCTGCTCCTGGAGATGTACAAACCCTGCCTCGGTGCTGGAGGCGGCAGTGTTCCTAACAGATGTGAAGCTTCGTTCCGGGAGTTATCCCCTTGATCCCTTGAACCAACCCACTGGGGCATCTCCTAGCTCTCCCCCGAGAAACGAAGCAAAGTCTTTGTTGCCAAACAAAGTGCCCAAAGCTGTGGAGAGAGCCAGGCTTGGGAGACTCGGGCTCTGCGTAGCTGTGTGCAGAAGCCGCCTCCGTCCTTTGCTCTGCGCAGGGCTCTTCCTTGGTAACCTGCCGGATTCCAGCACTGACCGGCTGCTCAGCGCGCGGTGTGTGGTGCTGTACGAGCCTGGGGGGCTGTGTGTTCACAGGGTTTCACGTTCTCCTTCCATACTTTGTTTTCCCGTTGCTGTTACAGGGAAGCAGAGCGCCTGTCCTTGCTCGATGCGCGGGGCTTCGTAATGAGCAGCCCTGCAGCTCTGTGTGATGCGAGGAAAGACTGGATTTCCCTTGAGGCACCCTGGTACTGCCTACCTGCATGCGTATTAATCGAAGCTTTAATATGCTGCTTAAGGGGAAGATGTGAGCGGGCAAGGCAGGGCCTGGTTTTGTAGGCAGCACAGCGACGACTGTTCGCAGACAGCTTAAAGGGGATTTTTGGCGTTTTCTGCTTCTGCGGGGTGTCCCGCGTGAGTCCCGCCCAGCCGTGCAGGTGGGGGAGCGCGCCGTATGGCAGCCTGCGATTACCAAACTACCGGGAAGCGCGCGGACAAACTGGGCTGCGCCGTGCTGGGTTCCCTGTCAGACCAAAGGAAAAGCCGGGGTCAGGTGTGTGCAAGCTGCAGCTCTCGGCAGGCCTGGGCTTTTCCGACCAGGATGGCTGGCTGTCGTTGGGCCTCCCGTGTCCACGGTCTGGGTTTCTGGATGAGTGGCCGGCAAAGGTGAGCAGTTTGTGGCAACCTGCAGCTCTCGGCAGGCCTGTCCTTTTCAGACCAGGATGGCTGGCTGTCGTTGGGCCTCCCGTGTCCACGGTCTGGGTTTCTGGATGAGTGGCCGGCAAAGGTGAGCAGTTTCTGTTGCCTGGCGGCAGAGGTCTGGGTTGCTGGCCTTCAGTGCTGTGCCTACAGCAGCTCCTCATTCCCGTTTCTCCGTTAGATTTTAGGTACCGGAAGCAGAAGGAGTCCGTGCAGGGTAAAGGCACAGAGCTGCGGCTGAGGAGCCGGCTTTCCCCATCCCCCCGAAAATCTCAAGGACACCCAGACTTTCGGAATGGCTTCTTCCTGGAGCACTCTGACAGCTCTCCCATCCAAGAAGAGCTGGAGAAACCATCAGGAAAACGCAAATGTAAAACCAAGCACCTGGCAGGGATCTGTGACGAGGGGAAGGTATGGCTGGGGCTGAGGAGGGGAGCACGCACGGGGAGGACAGAGAGAAGGGGACTCCTCTGAGTAAGCCGTGGCCACACGTGCCAAGGAGTTGTATTCCTTCCTTTTCCAGGGGAAAGGCTGCTGGAACCAGCCCAAAATGCGCCCTCCGAAGAAGCCCCAGGACTTGTGGGCGCTTTGTAAGTCCCGTCGGGTCAGCCCGGAGAGTTCCCCCGAACCGCCTATGGCCCAGAACGTTCCTCCTGGAGCTCGGCGGCTGATTGTGAACAAAAATGCAGGGGAGACCCTTCTGCAGCGAGCAGCTCGCCTGGGCTACAAGGTGAGTTCGGCCGCCCTTTTCCGCGGTGTCCCCTGCGCTGCCTTGCCTGGGTTGTGTGCGGCCGGGCCTGCAACGCTCGTGTTCCCGCAGGACGTGGTGCTGTACTGCCTGCAGAAGAAGAGCAGTGACGTGAACCATCGTGACAACGCTGGCTACACGGCACTGCACGAAGCCTGTGCGCGAGGCTGGATCGACATCCTCCACATTCTGCTGGAGCACGGCGCCAACGTGAACTGCAGCGCGCAGGACGGCACAAGGCAAGCCGGCGAGGGGGGCACGGCGGGGGAAGCACGGAGAGGCGTGGGAGCGGGGAGCAGGGCGTGTTTTTCCGGATGAGCTGTCGGTCATCGCTAGCTTTGTCTTAACCCGAAGCAGAGCATTTGCTTTGCGAACTCTTCCAGTCTCTTCTTTTTCTGCCAATGCTTCTGTCCTTGCAGGCCTGTCCACGATGCAGTAGCAAATGACAACCTGGAAACCATGTGGCTTCTACTCTCCTATGGTGCTGATCCCACTCTGGCCACTTACTCTGGGCAGACAGCAGTGAAGCTTGCCACCAGCGAAGTGATGAAGCGCTTCCTCTGCGGTAGGTGCCAAGCCCGGGGGCGGCGGTGCTTCCATCCTTCCAGTCTGGCACCATACGGGACCAGATCTGGGTGTCAAAGGGTTTAGAAGTGCTTGAGCAGCAGGTGACTGAATCATTTTAGCTCTGTCCCGTCACGCGTGTGTGTTTTTACCGCCCAAATTTTAATTACAGTTGTTTTCCAGATAAGATATGATTCGCTTTTCAGTCTTTAATGTGCAAGGAGATGGCAATGCCGCGGTCACACAGCTACAGACAGTGCTGTGCGTGAGGCTTGGAGACGCTGTTCCACCGTTCCCGCTTCTGCTGCGTAACCTAAGGGAACGTATTTTTGCTGCCAAGTAGCGATGCCTTCTGATCAAACCCAGCTCTGCCCAAACGCTGCCTGCCTGCCGCTGTTGGAAAGGCCCGTTTGGATCCCGGTGGCCGAGAGTGCAGCGTGCCTGCTCTCTGCGCTGGTTGTGTGGAAGCAAGATGAGCGTTGTGGCTTCTACGCAACAGCGAGGAAGAGGCAGCAGTGGTTCCCAGATAGCTGCAAGGCAGAAAACCTCCAGTGTTGAAAAAATCTCATTTGCCAGCTGTCTGTCTGAGCTGCTCCAGGCTTACCTGCACACGCGGGTGTTGGAGATGTAATTCTGAACTCGAGACGACCCTAGGAACTTTTCTTTCCGACCCACGTAGTGTGGTCGGTTGCTTTCCCTTTTCAGCTTGTATCTCATGTTCTCAGGCCCGGGGCCCTGCTGCCCTCTCCTGAGGGCGGGCGCCCTTCTTGCGAGTCGTGGTTCAGCTTTTGCCGTAATGCAGAGTGGGGAAGAGCAGCAGAGGTGAAGTGGCTCACCAGGATCAACGGATCTGCGTGCCAGGATCATGCTTTGACCAGTAGATAAGCCTTAACCCTCTCTATTGCTTCTCTTTAGATTACCTTTCGGATCTCGAGGGGCGCGCTGACGGGGATCCTCGAACAGCGTGGGACTTCTACAGCAGCTCTGTGCTCGGTGAGTTCAGTCTGTGCCAGTTCCTTCACGGCAGCAGAGCAGAGAGCAGCAGTGCTGCGTGATGACGCATCATTCACTCGGGTCGGTCTGCGTCCCTCCCGACTCACGTCGTAGCCAGAGCTCTGGCCGTAACGCTGCCTGCTGGGAGGTGCTCCTGAAAGGGGCTTTTTCTCTGGGAGGCTGCACGTGTGGACCCCTCCAAGCAGGCTGAACGCAGCGTGCAAGACTAGACTCCAGGTGCTGCTGGTGATTCCTGAGGGTCTCTGGGTGTCGATCCCAGACCGTGTTATACTTGTAGCAGTTCTCGTTAGTCCAGTCATCAAGATAAAACCAAGGAAGGCAGAGAAGTCTTGGTATAGAAGTCTTGAACTTCCAGGTTCCCAGAGCTGCCCATCCCTCTTCTCTGCTTTGGAGGGGAGGTGTTCGTCCAGGGAAGGTCCTCTTCTTACAGTGGCAGGCATTCCCCAGTGAAGGCATGACTTCTGCCTTTTACTGTCACTTCCTGAAAATTGTGGTTACCAGCCTTGAAGTTTTCTTGAAACGATACAGGCGCAAGGTCTGCAAACGGTTCGCTGTGTTGCTCCAGTTCCCCCAGGGTCCGTGAACGATGGTGTGGTGGATCTAGCCGCGGGCCTGTGCCAGGCTGCAGAGTCCCTCCTGGCCACTTTGCCGACGTAGATCAGCACGCTCAAGCCCTTCGTAAAGACTTGGGTTACCTACGCTGGCAAGCCAAAAGGCAGCTGGTTTTAGCTGCTCACCTCTGTCGTTTCCAACATCCCTCTAGAAATGAAAAAATGCAGATACGTACGGAAGGGTGCTCTTGGGAGAGGACTTACCCTTGGAGGACCCTGATGTCTCTGCGTTTCGGAACGGAGGAAATTCCGTGCTCCTAAGAAGACTTTGTTTGTAGGCTTTGGCACTCAGGCACGCCAGGGAAACTGTTCGCATCACAGCCTCCTTCCTTTGGATTTCTCACTCTTGAAGCTATCACGGTCCTTGAAGAAGCAGCCTCTTTACCACAAGAAAAATAGCTATTCTTTGACTGTAATGTTTTAGAGTAGAGATCTTACCAGTTTTGATTTATCACTGATTCCCACTTGGATTTCTCTGATAGACAAGGGAGGAAAATTGTGTGTGTGGTTTTGTGGGTAGGAGAGTTTGGCGCTCTGGTTGCTGCTGCGTGCTGGGTTCTTGGTTACCCAGAGAGCTTATGTGCTTGAGCTCCACTATCCGCTTGTGTCCCGTTTGTCAGCGTCCTGTCCTCTTGAAGATGCTGGCATGGGATTGTGGACTGCCGGTTCTCATACGCTCTAGGAGACCCGCTGCCACCTGCGAGCAGCTTAGAAATGTGCCATCTCGGTTTTCGTACACCCTGACGCCTGGCGTGAAACGGGTGGGTCTTGGAAAAGCAAGCCACTGGTGTTTAGTTCAGAGTAGCTGCTGCTTGCAGGCCTTTCACTGCCACGTCCCCCGGCACGTCTCGAAAAATCCCGTCTTGCATCATGTCCTCCTACGTTTCTGTCCTCCACCCCGGCGGCAAAAAGACAGGGGTTATTTTTTTCAGCAAGCAAACCATCACCGACCTTTTGGTGTTTGCTGGGGGGGTGGAGGGAGGTTGGGGTGCCATCGTGATGGCAGTTCACTGCCCGCCAGGGCCTCGCTTAGACCCTTGGCTGACACATGGAAAATCTCCGCGGGGAGTGCTGGGAGCTGCACTTCTTCTCCTTCCCCTGGACCTTACTCGAGCTTTTCAGAGTATTTCTTCATTTGAGGGTGGAAAAAGACTACCTTCCCTGTTAAACTCGTCCTGCCGCTTCCAGCGGGGCTTCACACTGAATGCTGGCCACCGTGGCTGCATCTCTGCTGGGTCTCTGTCGCTCACATGGTGCCATCTGTTAGGTTTTGCCTGCTTTCTCTCCTGTGCTACCTGAAGCTGGTTAACGAGCCAGACAAATCCCGCGCTGGTCTGCCTGTGCCCTTCCCTGGCTACGTCACCTCACCCTTGCTGCAGTGGAAAGATCCCTCCAGTCTTGGCTGGGCTGATGCTCGCCTCTCGGGTGCTTCGGGCTTCACTGGGTGCCTCTGCACAGCGCTTGGGAGAATGTGGGCTCCTCCCAGACATGAGACTGATGGTCCCTGGAGAAATGTCAGCGACACAAAATGTGCTGAAACCCCGTGGCTTTGGTCTGGCTTGTGGGGTGTTTCCGTCTCTGGCTCGGAGAGAGGACGGCAGAGATCCCACTACAGCAGGACACTGCGTGTTTCAGCGAGGAAGGGCCAGACGCCCAAACCTGAGACGAGGGGCTGTGTTTTTTAGGGTGCTGTTTACAGGGTGTTTGGAAACGGGCCCTTTTGGCTCCGTTACCTTCCGCAGCCACCCTGGGTTGCCGAGAGCAGATGCTCCCCAAGGCAGGGAAGTACCTGATTCTGCTCTTGGGTAACTGAGCTGCTCCCAGCTGAGCCAGCTCAGCAGAAAGCTGTTCTCCTCCGTCAGTGGCTCAGTCCTGCAGAGCTTCCCTTTCCAGCGGATCCTCCAGCTGAAGCACAAAACATCGCACGTCCCTCGGGGCGGAGGAGAAATCCCAGGCCCCTGCTCGATCTGTTTCTATTCCTCGAGGCAGGAACGTCGTCCACATTTTCCTTTAGGTCTGCAGATCTCTGGGGGCCGGGAGATAGTGAGGGAAGGCGGGGTGTGGGGTCTCGGGGGTCTGAGCATGGTAAAGTCATCTGCGTCCCCCGCTTGGTGCTGCTGGGGTTCCAGACGCCAAGTCCCGCTCGGGGCTGTGTTCTGCACCTGGGACCAGCGCTGCTGTGCCAGATCATCTCCCCGTTGCTGCGCTGGTACCGCGCGTTCCCGTTCCTGCCGCAGCTTCCACCCGGGCTGACGGGCAGGGCCGAGGGAGAAGAATTTTCAGGAGAGACGTTGCACCCTGTCGTTGCCACGTGAAGTGCATTTAATTCTTTTTCCCTGGGTTGCTCAAGAAATTTGAGGTTTTTTTGGTGGTGGAATCTTTGCCAAGCAGTTATCAGACCAATGTTCAAGTCGCTTATTTTTGTCCTATTCTACAGTAAGTTTTGAAGATTTAAGCACCCTGTTTTTCTGTTTCTTGGGGAATTTATTTTTCCTTGTCAGGACTAAGAAATGATTGAATTTTTTTCCCGAGACCCTGTCTGAGCCTGCGTCTCCTGTCGTCTGCTGCTGTTTCTCTGTTGAAATGACACTCCTGCAGGGTGCCGCGTTTGTCCGTAGAGCAGCGTGGGGCGCGGAGCTCGCTCAGGCAGCACGCTGTGAGGTTTTCTTTCAGCCTTCTCTCTTGTGCGTGGTGTTGAGCTTTTGCCTGATTGGTTTATTTGCTCACCAGCACATTTGGTCCGAGTTCCCTCTCTAGAATCTAAACTGTTTTCTGGAAGTATTTGGAGTCGCCCCGTGTTACCTCAGCAGGACAAAACCACTCTGCCAGCCCCAGACTATTCTTACCCCTTAATAATACAATCCAGGCAGCAAGCTGCTTTCCAGCAGACGCTCTT